GTGGTGTTCTCCACAGCAGCTGCCCCATTTCACATCCCTGCCGTTAGTGCACAAGGGCCCCAATTTCTCCACTAACTTTTATCTTTTTAAATAAATAAATGGGCCTTTTCAATGAAACCTCAAGGGTTAAAATAGAAAAAGGTAAAAATCGTCCACATCCTCCCCTCCAGCTGGACTTGTCACCGCTTTCCTCCAGTTTTACACGGAAACTCGGGGTGGCCGCAGGGACCGCCCAGCCCAGTCCCGGAGCCCGCCTGCCCCCTGGCGGCGGGGCCGGGCCGCGCAGCCGTCCGCGCTCGGGGCCACGGGGGACTGTGGAGCTGCCGCCAAGTCCCGCTGCGGGAACAGCTTCGGGGCCTCTGGGACAGGCGCGTCTGCTCTGGGGGTGGGTACGTCTTGCTCAAAGCCCAGGCAGAGTTTCTTCCAAAACGCTCAAAAAAATTGGAACGAACCTATTGGGCGTTACCAAGGTCTGAGTCTGACCTGGGGCACGTGTGTCTCTTGACCTTGAAGAGAGCAAGGGGTCATCTGTGACGTCTAGAGGCTCCACGGGACTCCCGCTGGGTTTCCTGCAGGACCGCGCGGCAGGGCCTAGACTCCTCAGTCCCCTGGGGTGTCACGGTGGCCGCATCTCTCCCCAGAGCCCAGTTTGCCTCTCTGTCCCACCTGAGGGTCCTGTCAGGAGGAGGAGCCTGGGGTCGAGTCACTTTGTGTGTGTGTGGGGGGGGGGCTGTGGCTGTTGGGCTGGTGCTTCCTGTCCCTGTGGGCCCTTCTGTGGCTCAGAGATGGCCCCGATTGCTGAGGAACAGGAGACTTGTCCTGCCGCCTATCTGCCCAGCTGGAGGCAGCGCTATGGGGAAGGGCTGGACGTTTGCTGTGGAATGACAGCAGCTGTGAGGACGGTGGCCTGCGGCAGCTGGAGCAAGTGCTCTGGGTACAGCAGGTGGGGATGCGGCTCCCAAGGGCAGAGTGGTGGCTCCGCAAGGGCCAGATGCTTAGACCCCGCGTGAGTTGGGGAGAGTCTTCATCTTTAGGGTTTTGTTTGCTTAAAAAAATGGTTGGTGTTGGTTAGTTCCGGGTGGTAGGAATAAGGGGGTGTTCATTATTCTATCTATTATTTTTGAAATGTCTTAAATTAAAATAAATAGTTGTAGGAAAGCAGGGGGCACCATATTGACTCCCCCTACTCTGTGATGCCAAGTCCTTTAGCGAAGCTGAAGTGGTTTCTGTGTGCGGCTACAGGAGCGCTGAGGACAGCAGCACTTCATTCCATGTATTCCGGGGTGGTGTGGAATTCTGAGAGTTTAGTGAACAAACCCCCAGACATGTGAGAAACACATTATGAGCTTAGTGAACTGCAGTCAGAGCAGAGGATGTTATGTAGAGTATAATTCCCAGAGATGAAGAGATGGAAAATGTTTTAAAATGGTTATGGAATATGGAGGATAGAATGTCTAACCTCCATGTCATTAGATTTCTGGAAAATTGCAAACGAGGTAAGAAGCAACTTAGGAAGAGTTAATAATTGAGAGTTCATGTCAATTAAAGATACAAACCCTCAGATTCTAGAAGAACAAAGTGTCCCCGGAAGGATAAACAGAAAAGTATATCTGTGCCCAGGTATGACACAGTCAAACTTATCAAACACCAAGCAACAAGGAAAAATGTTTTAAAACAGCTAGAGAGAAAAGACAGATGCCCTATAAAGGAATGACAAGTTGACAGTAAATTTCTCAACAGCTGGTGGAGGTCGGGATGTAGTGGGATGATATCAGTGGCTTTACTAGGTAAGTCCTCTTATTATACAAGCATAATTTGGAACCAGGCTCAGTGGCTCATAACTGTAATCCTAGCACTCTGGGAGACTGAGGCAGGTGGCTTGCTTGAGCTTAGGAGTTCTAGACCAGCCTGAGGAAGAGTGAGTGAGAGAGACTCTGTCTCTAAAAATAGCCAGGTGTTGTGGCAGTGACCTGTAGTCTCAGCTACCCAGGAGGCTTGAGGCAAGAGGATCTTTTGAGCCTAAGAGTTTGAGGTTGCTGCGAGCTATAATGCCACAGCACGCTACTTAAGGGGACAAAGTGAGAAACTGTCTCCCCCAAAAAGCATAATTTGGATGCTAAAACAAGTATGGCAGGCAGAATAATGGCTGTCCTGAAGATGTCCATGTCCTAATTCCTGGAACCAGTGACTGTTTCCTTACATGGCAAAAGGGATTTTCTGGACATGATTCAATTACAGATAGCAAGGAGATTATCTGGATTGCCTGATATACTCACAAGCATTGTAATAAGGGAAAAAGTGAAGTAGGAGAGTCGAAAAAGGAGCCGTGATGACATAAACACAGGTTGGAGTGGCCGTTGCTGGCTGTGAAGAGTGCAGAGGGCGGTGGGGCAGGGACACAGGTGCCTCTAGAAGCTGGAAGAGATGAGGGCTGGACTCTGTCCTGGAGCCTGAAGGTGGAGTGCAGCTCTGCTGCCACTTTTGGTGTTAGCATCAGTGAGACTTCTCACCAGAGCTGTAGGGTAATAAATTTGTGTTCTCTAAGCCACTAAGTTTGTGATACTTTGCTATGGCAGTAATAGGAAATTAGTTCATTGGCTTTATTTAGTTTGAGAGATCACTTACATATCATATAATGGGCTCACGTAAAGTGAACCATTCCAGGATTTTAGCATATTTAGAGTTATATAACTAAACATTTTTGAAAGATGGATCAGGCATATACCACGAAATGGGAAATGAGTGACCTTTGTATCACATGGTCCCCTCCCTGATGATGGAGGCAGCAGCAGAGGGTTTGCCGGCAGGGAGGTTTGCTGGGTGTCGCTGATACTGACCATGGGACCCTCAGACCTGTGAACTTTGGCTTTTCCCTTCTGTCTTTGTAGGGGAACGTTTTCCTGTGACCCTTTTTACTGCATTTCCCTCACTGGTGTTTCAGGTATCTAATTGCTGGCACTTACCTTGAGCCAGCTCTTTCTTGATTTTAGCGATTGAACTGTTGAATCCTAAGTGTCTGATCTGCTCCTAAGTCGTTATGCTCTGTGCAGTTAATGTACACTTTCTGGTGAACTGTCTCAGATGCATACTTTCTTTTGTGTATTTCTCACTGCTTTATAAGCCATTGCTTTAAGGCAGTAAGGGTTGGGGATCACCACAACTTGAGGAACTTATCAAAGGGTCGCAGCCTTAGGAAGGTTGAGAACCACTGCTTTAAGGAATTAGTTTTATATAAAACTTACAAAACACCTGCTCATTTGGGATGGTGGCTGGGGGCATTGAGTACTCAACACCGAGCTGTCCTGCGGGTGGCTGGGTAGAGGCATCTGTGTGGTCTATGTGCTTGTCTGACAAAGGAAGAGCCTTTTTCTGGGCCTATTTTAAGCTAGATATTTTTTAGTCGATATATTGTACATCTTCTAAATTACTTATTTGAGAAAAATCCCATATACTCTCTCCCTCTTTTAAAAGAAAATGTACGGCCAGGTCTTGTGTACGGTGATGCCTCTAGTTGCTTTTTTAGACTTTCTGCCTGAGGGAGGATGCATTATTGTTTCCTTGAAACTTCTTCTTATTAAAGATGCTATAAAAATGGCTTTGTATTTCAGTGTGTATTTGTACATTTGTATTATTTTGCCTTCACCTGTTGGACACAAGCAGCTCAGGCAGGATCACTCTTAGAACAGGACAGAATTAGGCAAAGCAAGGCTGCGTCAGAACTTTGCCACCCACTGTCTCTTAGCTGAAATGAGTGACTGCAGCTTCGTTGCCCACAACAGCTTCGTTTGGTCAGGTGCCCCCCACCCCTAGTATGGATAAGATGTATCAACTTCTCCAACCTTTGCTTCCTCATATCATGTGATAAAGTGGACCCCATATCCCCAATGTTCCTCCAATCTCCTGAGCACAGTCCAGACCTTATACCAGGCTTTCTCTGGCACCTGCTCCAGAGACGCCCCACGGCACCCCTGGTGTTTCGTGTGGGTCTCCCTTGCTTCTGCTGACCTGATGGGTTCTGCTGTAGGTGGTAGCTTTTGGCTGAAGGGCATCAGCAGCTTACACATAAAAACTGTGATACAAAATGATGTTAAAAGCCCGTCCTGATAATCAGAAACCTCCTTTCAGCCCTTCCCTAGGGACTGACCCAAGGATGAGGGTGAAGAACCATTGCTTTCCATTCCCTACACCCAGGTTATCTCATTCTTTGAGCATTTTTAATGGAAATTAAAAAAAAATAATTGTGGTAAAATGTATATAACAAAACTCTCTGTCTTAACCATTTTTAAGTACAGTTAGGTACATTTACGCTGTCAAATGATGGTCATGGCAGCACATCTCCAGGGCTGCTCCATTTTCCCAAACTGAAGCCCGGTACCCATTAAACACAAATTCCCCATTGGCCCAATGTCCCAGCTCCTGGTAACTACAACCTTGCTTGTTTCTGTGTCTGATTTTGACCACTGTAAGTATCTCTTACAGGTAGAATCATATTTTTGTGTCTCATTTATTCCATGTAGCATACATGAAAGATTCATCTGTGTTGTATTTCCTTCATCTTTAAGGCTGAATAATATCCCATTGTGTATATATTTATGATATTTTGTTTTTCTATTCATCTGACATTAGATGCTTAGGTTGATTCTCCCTCTTGGCTATTGTGAATAACACTACTATGACCTTGAGTATGCAAAAATCTCTTTGAGACTCTGCTTTAAGTCATTTTGGGTAAATACTCAGAAGTGGAATTGCTAGATCATATTGTAATTTTGTTTTTAGTTTTTTGAGGAGCTGCCACACTGTTTTCAATAGTGGCTGCACCATTTTAGTCTCACCAGCAGTGCTCCGCAGTTCTCCTTCCTACCAACTGCTTGATGGGTGCGAGGTGTGACTTCTCATTGTGGCTTTGGTTTGCATTTCGCTGGTGATTAGTGTTGTTGAGATTTGTTGGCTTTTAAATTTGTTTTTGAACACTCACCGTAATCATTCCCACTTCTTTCCAGAAAGGAATTGACCTTGCTGGGACAGTCAGGCTCTCTGAAAGGCTCCTTGAGTGCAGAAGAGCAGCTGGCCCTGATCAGTGGGTGTTCTAATATCCAGGAAGCAGTAGAGGGCGCCCTGCACATTCAGGTGAGTTGTGGACATGCAGTGGAAGGTGAGGGTAGTTTGTGCCTTCAAGGTCAGAATTTTGTTTTCTGTGGTAGGAAATGTCCTCAAAATCTCCCCTATACAGGTTCTCTTCAAATTGTGGCAACAGTGATACATTTTAGCGGCGTTAACCAAAAATAGGCAAAAATAGGTTACCTGACTGCTCATACTATCTTATCTTAAATGAAAGATTTTATGTATAATTGAGTAAAAGCTTAAATTACCTAAAAGAAAGCCTTTCATTTGCATTTAGCCTTTCTAACATCTTCATCTTTAAAAAGAAGACCTTGTGGGCATTGTTTCCACAGTGAAAAGATCCTGGAAAGAGGACGTGGCAGGTCCAGGCAAGACTGGGAGGCAGCCCCGGGCTACGACCACAGCGCGGTGCCCTCTGGGAACTCCTGTACCCACACACAGGCCCTGCCCCTGCCCCTGCCCAAAAGCCCTGAAGTATAATCTTGTCTTTTGAATGGTTATGTTTACTGCTATTAGGATTAAGTAAATTTACCGAAAACTAAGAGCCATTATTCCCCAGATATTCTTCCTCATTATATTGTGTTCTGAGATTTGTACAACTCGTATTACTATGAAGATAAGAGGTCAGGTGATTTAAGTTCATGAACTCATCCTGGAAAAGTGCTCCATACCTCCTTCCTGAGTATCACTTTGGTCACCTTCAAAGCACTCCCCTTGGTCGTCTGGTGACCACAGTGAGCACTTTTTCTAGGATAAGTTTGTGAACTTAATTGTCAAATCTCATATGATGGCAGTTCTGATGACAATTTCAGAAACAAAGTTTTAAAATTGTTTTGAAGGGTGGACTAGGCACTGGCATCAGTGCATATTTTCCCAGGTGGAGTACCTCAAAGGTGACCATAAGGCTATTCAGGGACGAGTTCTCAAACTTAATTGTCTGACCCTGTGGTCTAACTGAGATGCAGCTCTAACATTTCTCTAGGTCGTTTAACAAATGTGTGCCAGAAGGGAACAGAAGGAGAAGATGATTTTCAATTTCTCATCTCTTTCTAGTAAATTCACCTCTAGCTCTTGATAATGGTGAAGTTTGTATGACATTGAAGGGTTGTAAAGGAACCAGAAGGGCTCTTTTAACAACGTCTGACTGATGCTTGCTCCAGCCCTTGCTGAAGCTGTTGGTGCCCTAAGAGGACCCACCTCTGATGAGCACTGGAGATTTCCAGGCCTGATCTCGGTGGAGAAGCCTCCTCATGTGGGTTAGTTGGTTAGGTTATATAATAAGATCTGAAGTGTGAATGTGTGATGTCACAAATGCTTGTATGGAAGCTCTGAGCTGGTCCCCCCAGCTCCAGTCTGTGTCTTCATTAGAGTCACTTTTTGTCTCTAAGCAGAGTTTCCCAGAGCACATTATCTGTGCTCCCTTGGGGATGGTGGCTGTGCAGAGCTCTTTGAATTGGCACAGGAAATTTTGTCCCATCCCCAATTACTAATCCTTAAACATTTAGGTGTTTTCCTCCCTGTAATAATATACTTATGGTTCTATCACGTTGACAATTTGCTTTGTTGCTTTTTTTAAAGTGATCTTACTAAAGCTTATTTACAAATTTTCCAGCAATAGAAATTATAAAGTTATGCCCTAGGAACAATGAATTATCTATGTTAAATTTCTTTATCTCCTTGTCTTATATTTAAATAGTTTATCAGATGATTTTCATAAACATCTAACACGAGCGTGAGAGAATTAGTTCAGACTAATATGTCTTCCTCAAACAGAATATTGTTTTTCAAAAACTGGAGAACCCTCCATAATGAGACCATTGTCATGACTGTAAGGTGAGTCCTTCTTTAAGGGGACAGTTTTTGCAGGGCATATGCTAACTTACAAGGCATTTAAAGTGCTTAGCACAATACTTTGCACACAGAAAATACTCAGTAAACGGTAGTTACAATATGGCCACTTCTAATAATTTTGGTAAGAAATAATATGGAGCAGTATATGTTCTCTGCATAGTAGGTGCCACTGAACACTGCTTTTTGAGGTCTGCCTTCATCTTGCAGATTAAATGACAGTATTTACATGGCGTGACAGGTTGAGCAGCTTCTATTATGCAGAATGGCAGGGAGCCAGACAGTGTGGGAAAAGGACAGAGAAGGATGATATAAAGCACTCAGTTTAATTCCTGTGAGATTATGTTCTTCAGAAATTGTTTGTACCTCCAGTAGCACAGAGAAATGGGTGAAGGCAACAGTTCTGACCAAGAGGGCTTGGGAAGGATTAACAAAGGCAGGGTTTGGCTTGGATTGGCCTTTGACAAGTGGATTTGGGTGAAGTGGGTAGTGGCAGAAGTAGGGATGGTATCTCAGAAAGAGATGAGCAGAGGATGAGGGGTCCCCGTGAGGACGGTGGAGACAGCTGGATAGGTGGGTGAGGCCCACCCGGGAGGTGGGAAGAGGCTGGTACACGATGCCAGGAATGCCAGCCCGAAGAGTTGCTTAGATGAAAGGAAATGGATAAAGTGCTTAGAGGGGTCCATGACGCATGAAGCACTAAGTGTTTCTTTAAAGAAATGCTGTTTGGATTTCAATTTATTTCCTGATTAGAATCCTCTAAGGGAGGTGTTTAGTAGGAGAGTGAAACAAATCAGAAAGAAAGACGGGTAAGGAGAAAAAAAAAATCAAGATTTCATTTTTGTCAGTTGTCTGATTTTCAGTTTCTCTGATTTTACACATTTATATGATGAACAAATTTTATTCTCCAAATGTTATAGCTAATGCATAGTAGTGTCTCATCTTATAGCAAACTAGTAAATAAAGCCACCAAACAAAACCTCGCAGCCTGGTCCCTCATGTGGCTGTTAATGACATTAGTGTTTCTAACAAACGGGAATGTAAAAAATACGTCTTAAAGAATTCAACATTTCTATATTGTAAAGAAATCTTAGGAAAATCCTGCCTTGATCTAGTCTAAAACTTTAATATTTCTGTATATTTGTATTTCTTTCCATGTATCTTTTTTTCTCTTTCTAATGTACTTGAGATTATATTGTAAATAGAATTTTGCATCATGGTTTTTATTTCAAAGTTACAATATTTCTTGCTGGATGATTTGTTCAGGACTATATCACAACAGATTTAATTCTGTGACTTAAAAAGTAGTGATGGTCATCATTTGATGTTGTCACACCTGAGAGAACCTTCTATCTAAGAGTGTCATTAAAGCTGAAGTCCCCAGAGCATCTGTCAGGCAACCACTGCTGACCTGGCCCAACCCACACCTTCCAGAGCCTGTGGCTTCTTGCTGGCAGTGAGATTGCTGCTCTTGTCAGCTTATACGGCTCCTTTTTCTGATGTACACAGGGAAAATTCTTATTCTCTAAAAACTAATCTAGGGTACTTGGAGGCAATTTTCTTAAAAAAAAATTTATTGAACAGGCACAGTGGCTCACACCTGTAATCCTAGCACTCTGGGAGGCTGAGATGGGTAGATTGAGCTCAGGAGTACAAGAGCAGCCTGAGCAACAGTGCGACTCCATCTCTACTAAAAGTGGAAAAATTAACTAGTACAGTAAGGAAATTACGGGTATTTTGGTGAGTGCCTGTAGTCCCAGATACTTGGGAGGTCGATGAGCCTAAGAGTTTGAGGTTGCTGTGAGCTGTGTCACCACAGGACTCTACTTAGGGAGACAGAATAAGACTGTCTGAAAAAATTAAAAATTATTGACATATCATAATTCTGTATATTTTGGGGATCGTTTTTTTTTGAGACATAGGGATCTATGTGTATTTTTTTTTTTTTGAGACAGAGTTTTACTCTGTCACCCTCAGTAGAGTGCTGTGGTGAGTGATGTGATGTCATAGCTCACAGCAACCTCAAACTCTTGGGCTTAAGCGATTCTCATGCTTCAGCCTCCCAAGTAGCTGGGACTACAGGCACTCACCACAAGGCCCAGCTATTTTTAGAGATGAGGTCTCGATCTGGCTCAGGTTGGTCTCAAACCTGTGAGGTCAGACAATCCCTGCCTTGACCTCCTAAGCGTTGGGATTATAGGTGTGAGCCACCGTGCCTGGCCCACCGTATGTATTTGGATACACATATGCATTGTGTAATGATCATATCAGGGTAATTGAGATATTCCTTACCTCAGACATTTATCTTTTATCATGTTGGAACATCATAATTCTTCTCTCCTAGCTGTTATGAAATGTACGGCAAATTATTGTTAACTATAATTTCCTTACTCTACTGCCAAATCCTGGAACTGATTCCTTCTAACTATATTTCTGTACCCATTAACCCCCTGCCCTTCCTGGCCTCTGGTAACCACCTTTCTACTCTCTGCCTCCGCAATGACCACATTTTGGGTTCCCATATCTGAGTGACAACGTGTGACCTTAGTCTTTCAGTGCTTGATTTATTTTACTTAATGCAGCGACTTCTGGTTCCACCCATGTTACTGTTTTCTTATAAAAAGAAAATTATTGTTACTTTAGGGAATTGTTCAAAAGCAGGATGCCGAGCTTGTGGGCACGTCCCCCCCTCACCCCCCACAGGCTCCTGCCACAATTCACCTATAACAATCCCATGGGATCTGCTGAGCCCCCAGACGGCCAGAGCACTGGCAGTGTAGTATACTTATCCCTCATGGCTTGTCTTTTACCCAAACCCCAGAGGGTGGGAACATGGGTCAGAAAGTTTCCTAACACTCTGCTGAAATGTGGGAGCGTGCAAGAAGGAAACCTGAATTTCTGGAACTTTGTGCAATTTTGAAATCAAATCTTGCTTGGCAAGAAAATCTACTGTGATGGAAAAATAAGTTTATTCTGAAAAGCCTGTCTTAAGCTGTGAATCTGAAAGAGCATTAAGGTCCATTAGCCGCCACACGGAGGCGTCACGTCATCTAATCTCTGGAATTCAAGACTGGAGATTGCAGGGGCTGGTAGGAAGGAGCCAGGGGAATGGATTATAGAATTATGAAGTTTAATTGGGGTTTCCTTACACAAAATCA